GCATCGGGCAACCTCTTTTTCAAGTTTTGGAGAATCGTCTTGTTCGTAGATTCTTCTTGTCTGTTTCCACTCTGGTGGTAAGGTGTTGATAATATTTTCTTAATCTTGTGATCTTCGAAGAACTTATTTACCTTGCTGCCGATGAACTATTTTCCATTGTCGCATACTATCTCGGACGGTATCCCTAATCGACATATTATGTGATCCCAAATGAAGTCAGTGACTTCTTTTTTTTTCGGACTTTCTCAAACTAGAAAAATAATCGGTCATGAATAGTATGAATTGAGCCTTACCAGGTGCCCATGGCAAGGGACCGACGATGTCCGTTCCCCATTTCATGAACGACTATGGGGACAAAACCGATTGGAGTAGCTCTCCCGATTGATGGATTATCGGTGCATATCTCTGGCAGCCTTCGTATCTTTGTACAAAGTCCTTCATGTCTTTATCCATGTTGATCCAGTAGTAGTTGACCCTGATTTTCACTAAGGTCGGCATAAAGTCGGCCACGAAGTCGACCAAAATTTGAGATTTATGGCAGTTCGGGGTCGATACTCGATATCGTACCCGCTGATTTTGTCAGCCTATTTGACCAATCAGCCCGAGATCTCGGGCTTGTGCATGATGTTACTCAGTGAGTAAGAGGTTACGACACATATGGGGTGATATTGAAAGTACGGTTTTAGTTTCCTGGAGGCGCTTAGCAAAGCGAGCGCCAATTGTTTCAGGTGAGGATACCTTGTTTCGGCCTGCCTAGAGTTCTATTGACATAGTAAATAGGAAATTACGTACCTTCCTCTTCTCAGACTAAAAATCCACTTACCTCCACCTCGAATACCGCCAAGTAGAGGTACAGTTGCTCATCTGTAATGACCCAACCGGCCATTTTAACTTTTAGAACCCCGTTCCCTTAAATAAAACTCACTGAATGTGATTTTACTGATTTATGACTTGCGAGGATGGTTGGTCTGGGATTTGAAAGTGTTCGGGTTGAAAACGGAATACTTAGTTCTTTAAATTGGCTTTAAAATGCCAAGTTTGACTTCGGTCAACATTTTTAGAAAACGACCCCGAAATCAAGATTTGATGGTTCTAATAGGTTCGTATGATGATTTTGGACTTGGGCGTATGTTCGGATCGAATCTTGGACAACCCGGGAGCGTTTCGGTGCTTAATAGTAAAAATCAGCTATTTGAAGGTTTAATGTTCTTTAAATTTGGTTTGGAGTAGGTTTTGGAGTAATTGAGGTCCGTTTGGAATTCCGAGTCTGGGAATAGCTCCGTATAGTGATTTAAGGCTTGCATGCAAAATTTGGTGTCAATTCCGAGTAGTATAAGTAGGATTCGGCACGTTCGGAGGAAATTAAAAACTTAAAGTTCATACTTTGATCCAATTTGGTGTTGGGGTGTCATTCTTGGTTTTGTTAATGTTTTACATGTTTCGAGAGTTCGAGCAAGTCCGTATAATGTTTATAGACTTATTGGTAAAGTTGGACGGGGTCCCGAGGGGCTCGGGTATGTTTCGGACCGCCCGGAGCTAAGTTGAAAACACCAGATTTTCTGTTCTGGTTTCCTTCTTCGCGAACGCGAAAGGACCCTCGCATTCGCGATGAAGGATTTGGGGGTACTGGAAGGACCCTCGCATTCGCGATGAAGGATTTGGGGGTACTGGAGTTTTTCCCTTCGCGTTCGCATGCATATGGACGCGTTTGCGGAGGCCTAGGGCCTTTGGCCTTCGCGTTCGCATTGCGCAGGCCGCGTTCACATAGAAACCTTGGCCTTGGCCGGGGCACCCTAGTTGCCTTACGCGTTCGCGAGGGAAGGAACGCGTTCGCGAAAGAGGCAGGTCAGTAAGCCTTCGCGTTCGTGAGGACCCTATCGCGTTCGCGAATGGTAATTTGAGGCTGAGGAAAATGACCTTCGCGAACGCAAAGCCTTGACCGCGTTCGTGAAGAAGGGGTCATCAGTGCTGGGCAGAATATTTTAAAAACGGGATTTCACCATTTTTAACCACATTTCTTCCATTATTGGGCGATTTCTGAGCTTTTCCAGAGGGGATTTCAATTATCAATTTTAAGGTAAGTTAATTCTACACACTTTGAGTTAAATACATAGATTATGGGTAGATTATAACTTATAAATCTTGAAAATCAAGGGTTAGAGAAAAAACGTAGATTTGTATAAAAATGAGATTTTAACCACGAAAATGGTTATGGAATTGGATGGAAAATATATATTTGAGTTCTTGAGATTATGGGTAACGATTCCTCGGAATATTTTCGGAATCCGGGCACGTGGGCCCGGGGTAAATTTTAGGAATTTTACCATTTTGGGTTGGACAATTAATTTAATAGCCTAAATTCGAATTATTGATCATGTATTAATTATTTTGTATATCATTTGGATAGTTTTGGATTTTTCGGCATCGAATTAAGAATTTAACATGACGTGGTGATCCGAAAATGGATTTTGAGACAAGGTAAGTCTCTTGTCTAATCTTCTGAGGGGGAAATTACCCCATAGGTGATTAAATTAATAATTTTTGTTAATTGTGGGGGCTACGTACGCACGAGGTGGCGAGAGTCTGTACGTAGCTACTATCTATGCTAAAGTCCGGGTAGTTAGGACTCATAGCATGAATTATGTGCGTAATTTGTATCCTTTATTTAATTAAATTATTTGAACTATATTGTGAAATTTTAAGGAACAGATAGTAAAAGATGAAAATCTCATATATACTTAATTTTTTGTTTAAAATAATTAATTGTTAAAAGAAATTGTTCATCCTCTCGAATTAATCTATAATAAATATACTCTCCTTCCGGAGGTACATAAGAAAATGTCCTCCTTTCTTGTGGAGCGGGCCGAACGCCTCGGCAGTATAGATGCATCTATGGATCGCGCCGCACGTCCCTCGGCAGTGTACACGACACTCTGGATCAGGTCGTACGACCTCAGCAGAAATCGTGCCTAATAATAATAATAATTACACGATACCTTGATATTTTAAATTGTTGCATTTGAAGGAACTTAATTATTTCTGCTGGTTAAATAAAATTGCTGTTAATTCTAAGAATCATATTGATTTAAATGTTTCTATTTTTGTTTTATTTATTATTATTGACCCTTAGTGAGTGTCAAAGTCGACTATCTCGTCTCTACCTCTTCGAGATTAGGCTTTATACTTACTGGGTAGATATTGTTTACATACTCATGCTATACTTGCTGCACTTTTTGTGCAGGACCTGAGACAGGTGCTATCGTTGGACCTATCGGCGCGCATCCACATTATCCAGAGGCTTAGTGGTGAGCTGCTTTCTGAGCCGTTCTGCAGCAACTAGAGTCTCTTCTGGAAATTTTATTCTATCTATTTCATTTCAGACAGTCTTTATAATTTTTGTATAATCAACTAGATGCTCATATACTTATGACACCAGGTCTTGACACACACACTAGTAGAATGTTTGGATTTAAATTCTGTTCTTGGTTATTTTAATTTACTAAATCTTTTCATATTGTCTAAATTCTTGCAAGTAAGAAGAGTTTAATTACTCGGTTAAATTTTTTAAAGAATTGAATATGGGTTTAAATTACTAGTTGGCTTGCCTTGCTATAATGTTGGGCGCCATCACGACCTATATGTGAAATTGGGTCGTGACATCATCCGCCTTCGGAGTGTGGAGAAGGGGCGGACTCGAAAGGTATCGTTTGAGTTCTTCCAAAGCTTGTTGGCAGTTCGGGGTCCAGGAAAATTCTTCTTTTTAAACAGTGAGAAGAACCGATGGCTTTTGTCCGAGGATCTTGATATGAACTGGCCCAAGGCGGCTATACGCCCGATGAGCCTCTAAACGACCTTGACGTTGTCCACCACAGTGATGTCTGCTATGTCTTCTGTGGTCCACCACGTTGTCCATTACAGTGATGTCTTTTGTCCGAGGACCTTGATATGAACCGGCCCAAGGCGGCTATACGCCCGTTCAGCCTCTAAATGACCTTGACGCTGTCCCCCACAGTGATATCTTCTATGGCCTTGATCTTGTCAGGATTAATCTCTATCCCCCGATTGGATACCATGAATCCGAGGAACTTTCCCGATTCGACCCCGAATGCGCACTTCTCCGAATTCAGCTTCATGTATTATTTTAATATGTCGAAGGTTTCCTGCAAATGTTTCAAATGGTCCTATGCTCGCAGGGACTTAACTAACATGTCGTCAATATAAACTTTCATTGAATTTCCTATCTGTTCTTCGAACATCCGATTTACTAGACGTTGATAGGTGGCACCGGGGGTTTTAATCCGAATGTCATTACATTATAATAGTAGGTGCCAAATTTAGTGATAAAGGAAGTCTTTTTTTGGTCGCCCGAGTCCATCCGAATTTGGTTGTACCCCGAATAGGCATCGAGAAAGTTGAGTATCTCGTGCACGACCATCGCGTCGATTATCTGATCGATGTTAGGCAAAGGAAAAGAATCCTTAGGGCATGCATTGTTCGAGTCTTTGCAATCTACACATATTCTTAGCTTATTTCCCTTTTTAGGTATTGCCACTACGTTAGCTAGCAAGTCCTAGTACTTAACTTCCCGAATAGATCCTATTTTAAGGAGTTTAGATACCCCGTCCTTGATGAATGTGTGCTTGACCTCGGACTGTGGTCTCCTTTTCTGCTTAACCAGATGGAACTTCAGGTCCAAACTCAACTTATGAGGGGTCACCTTCGGCGGGATCCCTGTCATATCAAGATGGGACCAAGCGAAACAATCTATGTTAGCTATAAGGAATTCAATGGTTTTTTCCTGAGCTCGGGATTAACCCTGTGCCTAGGTATACCTTCCAATCGGGCAAATGTTCGATCAATATGACTTACTCCAGCTCCTCGACCATTAATTTGGTGGCGTCGGTGTCATCAAGAGCTATGAAAGATCTCGAAATTCTGTAATCGTCTTTCTCGTCAGCTCCTCGATCCTCCGGTTTGACTAGGACCGGAATCGGTAGTTACTATTTGACTGTGGCCTTTCTGATCAGTTTTGTATTCCTTAATGTCGGGACGGCGGGCACCGAGTGTACTTCATCGACTGCGAAAATATCCTTTGCAGCCGGTTGTTCTCCGTATACCATCTTGATTCCTTCCGTAGTTGGGAATTTTAACGCGTGGTGTAAAGTCGAAGATACTGCCCTCATGTTGTGAACCCATGGTCTCCCGAATAGAGCGTTATATCTCATGTCCCCTTCGATCACATAGAATTTGGTATCTTGAATCGTCCCGGCGGTATTTACTAGCAAAGTTATTTCTCTTTTGGTAGTTTTGCATGCCATGTTAAATTCGTTCAACACCCGGACCGCCAACACTATTTGATCATGTAGCCTCAACTGTTCTACGACCCTCAATCTAATGATATTGGCCAAGCTGTCTGGATCAATCAACACACGCTTAAAACGGGACTTGTTTATAAGAACAAATATTACCAGTGTATCATTATGAGGCTGCACAATGCCCGCGACATCCTTGTCGCTGAACGAAATGGCTCCCTCCGGGATATAATCTCGGGTGCGCTTCTCCCTCATGATGGATACTTTTGTGCGCTTTATCATGGGACCTTGAGGGACATCGACCCCTCCAATGATCATGTGGATGATGTGTTTAGGTTCTTCTTTGTCGGCCTATTTGTTGGAGTCCCTATTCCTGAAGTGATTTTTGGCTCGATCACTCAAGAATTCCCGGAGATGCCCGTTATTGAACAATCGTGCAACTTCTTCCCTCAATTATCGGTAGTCCTCGGTCCTGTGACCATGAGTGCCATGATACTTACACATCAGGTTAGGAACTCTCTACGTAGGGTTGAATTGCAATGGTCGGGGCCACTTGGTCTCCATGATGCGTCCAATGGCTGATACGATGCTTGCTGCATCAACGTTGAAGTTATACTATGACAATCTTGGAACTTCCCTTCCCCCCAAGCGGCCTGTCGAAACCACTTTTGCTCATCAAGACTCGGTTATTGGGCCCTTGATCTCTTCTCTTTTCGTTTCAGGTAGAGTTGCGCCCAGACCCGTTTTCCCTTTGATCTACACTATATGGTTGATACCGATCTCGGACCAGCCTTGATTCATGATCGACGATTATCTTGGGCCTGTCATCGGTTCTGATGGGATAAACGGACCCAGAAGGGGCTCCGAGTTGGTCATCCCCGACTCTCATTATTGACTGGTACTTGTTGTAGACATCGGCCCAAGTTACTGCTGGGTATTCTACCAAGTTTTGTTTCAGCTACTGCAAAGCCAAGGAGCTTAGGGGGTTGAGTCCCTAAGTAAATGCCTGAACGGCCCAATCGTCCGCAACCGGAGGCAGGTCCATTCGTTCCATTTGAAACCTTAACACGAGCTCCCTGAGCATCTCGTTTTCCCTTTGCTTAACTTGAAAAGGTCTGATTTTGTAGTCTCAACCTTGATGGCCCTGACATGAGCCTTTACAAAAGCATCCGCGAGCATAGCGAACGAATCAATGGAATTTGGGGGCAAGTTGTGGTACCATATCATTGCTCCTTTTGATAGAGTTTCTCCAAACTTCTTTAATAACATTGACTCAATTTCGTCGTCTTGCAAGTTGTTGCCTTTGATGACGCATGTGTAGGAGGTCACATGCTCATTTGGATTCGTGATTTCATTATATTTTGGAATATCGGGCATACAAAACCTCTTCGGGATTGGGTTTGGTGCCTCTAGCATTTTCATTACTTCAGGGATGACACCGGACCCAGCTTCGCCCGGCCTTTCGGTAATCTGCTCATTTCTTCGGGTATTTTTCCGGGGCGGTTCAGGCTCAACTCTGCTGGGGGCGCGGCTTTAGTTTTGCAGCTGCACTATTGCCGCCTGTTGAGCCTACAGCATTTCGAATATCAATCGTAGGCTGACCCTGTCGCCTTCGCCTTCAAGTGCTCCTTGAGCCGTCGGTCGGGCTCCTCCGTGAACGCTGTTTTCGGGGTCGGTGGGAAGGTTAGCGTCGATGACCACATGTGAGTTAGCATTGACTGGGTCTACGACTGGGACCCCGTTGGAATCAGCTTGGGGCACCTCATTGCTAGGTACCGGATTTTTATTTTCACCATGATGGCCAGACCCATCCTCAACGTTCAAGTGAGCGGACTGAGAATTTGACATTTTTAAGCTGACCTGAAATTGAGATCTTAAAGAACAAGTGTAAAATAGAGTTTGTTATGGAGATTTATATCAAATCTAGGGATGGGCGTCGGTCAGTTCGGTTTGTTTTGTAGAAGTTCAGTTCGGTTTTTTCGATTTTCGATTTGTGATTTTAATAACCAAAACCAAACCAAAGTATTTTCGGTGCGGTTTGGTGCGGTTATTTTCGGGGGTTTTTTTCGATTTTATTTTTTGGTGCTAGTGTAACAATATGTGCCACATCCATTTATGTGGTGTTATTATTCATCCAATTTGTTACTGTACATTAAATTCCTAATTATTCTGTTATTCAATGAGACATTTTACTTAACTATTAACAAGTGATGCCATCTTTTGTACTGAACTAGCTTTGCATTGCCCTAGTGGTCTGCTAATTCATCTCTGTTTTGTGACCGTTCTAACAGTTGTATTTTATCTTACGTGGTGTGGTCAAACACGACCAATTGGAGGAGAATCTGTAACGTATGATAACGTTTTAATTCAATATCTGGATTCTAGTTTTATATGCCCCACAAATTTGGTAGCATAAGAAAAAGACAGTTAAACTGAAGCTAGAAATTAAGAAGAACTTCATGAGTTTCCTTATCTTCTTTTTTTTTTCTTTTAGCTAACAAGATGACTGACAAGGCAACTAACACGAGAACGAGGGCTGAGAAGGATATGAGAAACAAACACGACAAATCTATCGAGAAAAAGAGAGAAAAATCTAACAGGTCATTGGTAGAAGAAACTCTTAGCTTCTCCCTAAAAGATTTGCTAGTTGGATTATGTAGATACCCTTCTTTTAAAGTGACTTGATGTGAAACAATGACTTAAACTTTTTAAAAGCTAGTGACCAGAAGTTGTTTCAGAAAATTTAACAAGAAGTTGACTAGTTGTTATTTGATTAGCTTTAGTTGTGTCATTTAACATATTTTCAAAGATAGGGGTCTTTCGGCAAAAGAACCCATACTTAAAAAAAACATCGGTTTTTCGGTTAACCAAAATACTAAAATCGAATACCGAATCGAACACCAAACTTTTAAAAAATATAAATCGAAAACCGACCGAAAAATCGAATAACTCGAACCGAATAAACCGAAATTATCGGTTCGGTCAGTTTTTTCGGCTCAGTCGGTATTATGCCCACCCCTAATCAAACCACCTCTATTATCCTTAGCCCTACGGTGGACGCCAAAATATTTACCCTTAAAATGGATAACAATTAAATTTGTACTCGATTTTAAGGATTTGTGGATTGATTCGACACAAAGTAATCAAGAACGTCAGATAAACGAATTAAAGATAAAATAAATAACCAAACCAGTTGAGACGTTAAGTCCATGCTCGGATTCAAAGTTAATAATAGTTCTGCCCTCGATCGGACCCTCGATTCAGAGCCAAATGTGTATGAAAAACTATGATTAAAATAAGAAATTCTCAATAGTTAGAAAGCATAGAAACAAGTTTGTATTGCTTTGATATGCGTGTTACAATGTATCCATTCAATAAAAATTACCCCACTTATATAGTAGGAGGGTTTCACCGCTAGTACAATTCTAAGAAAGGTAAAAAATCTTCTTTTTCGTTAATCACTGTTTCGCTGCCGATACGGGCCGAGATCTGCACTGTGATATCTGATATGATGTAGATATCGCAGCCCTCTGTCGGTCGTGTGTAACCGTTATTGTGTCTTCCAAGGTCTCAGAGCTCGTTCCGCGATCGGATAAGTAATTTCTTATCAAGCCCAGTGACGACCACTCCGTTTGGACCTTAGTACGAGGCGTTTCGGCTTTGATTTCGACCCCGTATAATCATACCCTTGCTTTGTTTGACCCACCAGAAAATCGAGGTGTAGGTTATCCCGATTTTACCCGTATACAACTTCTTAGTATTTTACTTTTGATTTGAGACCTTAATGACCAATTAATTGTTGCCTTTTTCTATTTCGAACTACTACTTCTTAATTATTGTCTTGAACTCACTTAGAAACTTATTAAAAAATATTTTATTCTTAATAATCACAAAATTCATATCAGTCTATTTATTTGGACGGAGAGGTATATAAATAAGTCAATATATATCGTCTATTGCTTACGCACTGTGCACAAAAAGCCATTGATGGGGTCATACACCTAATTAGTTTTTAAACATGTTGTATTACAAGTAAATTAAGCACAGTTGCTGACTAGAATATTGTAGTTTTCAGTTCTTTGGAATTGACGGACATTTGCTCTAATTCCGGAGGCGGATCCAAAATTTAAATTTAATAGGTTTAGTTTTTAAGAATTTTAGCATTAAACTTAATGTATTGTTAAAATTATGGATTCAAATATAATACTTGTTAAGATTTTTGTAGGTTTTTCCATAAAAATCTATACTTTGCGTTGAAAGTTATGAATTCAATTGAATCCATATCCGAAAGGCTACATCTACCCATGTCTAATTCTGTAACTATTGGTTTAAATGGTTTACCTTATTTCTTGGCCAAATACCTAGACGACCCCTTAAACTTGGCCTCAATTTCTATTTTAACACTTAAACTCAACCTAGTACCTATTGAACACTCTAACTCAAATAAAGGTACACCTATTAAACACAGATGATGACATGGCATATTTGTGTGAACTGCACCTAAGTTAGGCGCGTGAAATGATCATTTCTTTTCCTTTTTTATTTTTTGTTTTTGTTTCAGAACATTTCTTCCCNACTACCTGATCACCACCACTCTTCATCCACTACCGCCACTATTCACCATCTTTCCCCAAAGATCAGCTACAAGCCTACAACTATGTGATATCCGATTAAATAAAACCCACCATCTTCTTCCTCACCACCTATCTACCATCGCTCACCATGGTTCATATATAAGATTTCAAAGCTCAAAATGCTAGAATCTGAAAATTTTCATAGTTGCCTGCTTTATTCCAGAAATCAAAGGCAAAACTACCACAATATTAAAGAATAAAAAGAGAAACCCAGCAGAGAAACCCCATAATTCCGCCTACTCAAAAATCAAAATGGACTATTCAACTCAAAATTAAACAATTTCAAAAGTGCTCAAGCTTAATTTCGTGAATCACGACATGCCCGACGAAATCGAAACAAAACTTGGAAGCAATCAAACGTTAATCGACTTGTTGTAGTGTCACAGTGGTGGATAGCAGGTTGTAGATTTTTAAATTATTCTTGTTGGCCATGAAATTATGTAGACATTTAAGATAGATTGAAGAAGAATTTTAAAAACTGTGGGATAATAGGTGAAGTGGACTGTAAAGTATTTGAGATGATATTTCTTTTGGTGATGGTGTGCAGAGAAAGGGGACGGATGGTGAGAAGATGATCCGCTAGGGTGGGTGGGGGGTTTCTATCCTTTCTCTTCTTTTTTG